GAGTTGGAAGACGAGCCAGCAGCACTTTATAGGTCTGCTGTATGGGAGCGCTTTGCATTCAGTGACCTACGATGACTGCGGAAAGAAAGTTGTGGATAAAAGTGCAACAGTGTGCAAGCATTGTGCAACACGTTTTGTTTATGCTAACAGCAACACGACCAACATGTCATGCTAACCCCGAAATCCCACATACTCCATCAGCGGTCCGCTCCGCTTCGTCCCGCTGCGCTCCAGACCACCTGCACAAAGCAAAGCCTACAGCCTCCACTGTGGCTCCCGTCCGCTCCCCTCTGAGTCCCTTGGAGATGGTAGAGATCATGCGCGAGATGATTTAATTCAAAGCAGCAAAACATACGGAAATGATCCAGGGTTTCCGCGGAGCATTTAAAATAATTACAATCCATTATTTTTGGGGGGATTTTTTCAATAATTTCATAAATTTTTATGGGATTTCGGTGTAACAATCAACACATACTGAATCGAACCAAACCGAAAACCGTGACCACGAAACCGTGAATTGAACCGAACCTTGGATTTTGTGAACCGTTCCACCCCTAATATATATATATATATATAATTATTGCACAGAGTGTTTAATGTAAACAGGTTATTGCACAGGGTATTAAGTAGGTATCTGAAGGTGAGGCTGTTGAAATCTGACAAATTTGGACAGTGGGAACTGAGTTTTTTTCTGGATTTCACATACCTTTTATAATTGCCTTGAATGGGACACCAATGCAGTACTTAAGATCATTAAGGATCATTACTTTTTTGTGTCAAAGAGACGTCTTGATATCATGCCTTAATTAGATCATCACTATTCAAGGTACTGCTTCTTTTTTTTTCTTTTTTTTTTTTTTGCAGGTTAGCAGCATTTTGTTTCAAAAAAACAGTTCATTTAAAAATGCTTCTACAACTTAGTTACCATGTCAAACGTATAATTGAGATGTAATTTAAGGACAGACAGAAGTTCTGATTTTAACATTTGGTTTGATGGTTTAAAGTCAAATATGATTGAAAGAAATATACACAATTAGAGCCACTTAGCTCAGTACTAAGAAAAAAAATTCTTTCGAAAAGCAGGCAGACACATGAAAGCGGCCTTGACTGACTTTGGCTCCCTGCTCACATTCCTCTGCTCTTCAGCTTATTCTCTCTCCCCCTTCCCTTGCACGTATTCCCCATCCAATACCATCCCCTGGGACTTACATTATTTAGTGTTCATCTCTCATCCTTCGTGTTCTTTCTTTACCATAGCATTTGCCAAGCACAACAATGTACTCATCCTTTCTCTCCCTGTGGGACCTCCACTAACAAGCGCCTGCACACCTGCCAGTTCAGAGGCAGGAGGAGGCGTGGGGAGCTGGAAACGAGAAGAAGGTAGTGTTGGTGGGGAGGGGGGGCATGTGAGGGCAAACACCCATGTTGTGCCTATTCCCCTGACACCTGTGAGAAGAAAGTGACTCGTTGTTGCCTTGACCCCATGCGACACTTCGCCTTGAACTCCCGTCGCTGCAACATTTAGAGGCGCCGCAGCTGAAATGTAAAGACCGCTTGGAATCCTGTTTGTTGGCCATTAAAGTTAGTGATACTCTGACCTGTGACACTTTCCTTGATAGACAGAAGCAGAGGTATTTTAGAGTGGAGGCAACACACAAGAATGTGAAAAGACCAAATAATGGTGGCTATTTCTTTTTGGGGACTGTGGCTCAACAGCTTTGAGTGTTTTTTTTTTCTCTCTTTTATTTCCTTTTAAATAGATTTTGAAAATACATGATTGAATCTTCCAAGACATGTTCATGCTGATGGATTAACTTTTTAAAAAAGTAAACATTGACTAACTTTAAACAGTTTTAAGATTTAAAATCCTTTTTCTAGCTTTGACTTTTCTTTTTTTTCTCAAGGAATATAGAGATTCTTTGAAAAATATTAATCCTCTTGAATTTATATGTGTTTGTCTCACACTGTCTGCGAATAGCCAGCATTACGTAGTGCATAATTGTATAATAAATAAAATACTATTATTATTATTTTATTTCAAGCTTCACCATGACCTGGATGATTGAGGATCTTTGCAGATATGTAACCAAACGTAGGACAGTCTTGGCAGACCAACCCTTATTATTTTTTTTGCAGCTCTGGCTTTATATTCACATGTTTTTTTATTTGTTTTTCTTTTCTGGTAGATTAAAGGTTATTCTCCCCACAGCAGTGTGTCACAGACATTTTTATGCTCAGGAGAATCAGGAACTAGCTGTGGGTCTAGTTACGGACGAGGTGGTGATGAAGTGGGGGCGAGTTTGTGCCACAATGGAGGGACATGAGGGCCAAAAAGAGCGGGGATCCAGGTGGAAAAAGGGCCCCAGGATTCTCGCGCACCTCTTCTAGCGCACCCCGTTCGTTCTAGCTGGTCCAACTTCACGAGTCGTTTTCTGGAATTGTGGTCATAAAAACAATACAAGCCGGCCTGTCTGCGGTCAGTTACAATTTGGGAATGTTACAGCAGAGTGTATGTGGAGGGGGCGGTGAAGTCTTTTTGTTCACTGCAACACATACGAAGACGACCTAGTTTCGAAGTATAATTCAGCCTTTAGTGTTATCACCCTCTCCCCACAACTCTTAGGTCTCTTTAGCGTCCTCCAACAGTTGTTTTTCCCCTTTTCCTGTGTTGAAGAACAGTGTTAACACAGCTTAATGCAACTGCTTCAGGTCTTAAGACCTTTTATCAGCTCCATTTTTCGAAAAGCTTTCTGTGTTTCTTCCATGATAAATATTTGCTCAATCAGTCATTTTAGGTTGAAGTCCATTTTTGTGTAAGGTCATAATCTGTCATAATCCCCAACTTTTCTTTTTTTTTTTTTTTTATACCAGTATATGCCTTAGTCTTTACCACAACAGATTCCCTGCTTCTGAAGCTTTTGCAGACTACCAGCAAATCAGAAAGAACATCCCCCATTTTTTATCCCTCTTTTTTAACAAGCAAATTCAAAAAATTCTGCAGTGAAAATGCTCTGAAACACTACCAAATAAAATGCAGGGCATCTATCTTTGTTCTGTATTCAATGTTAGTTAATTAATGTTTGGATAGTCGATAGGTGTTGCTGTATATGAACACATTTTTACATCCAAAGCCTCTAAAAGTTGACCTCTGTGACTCCAGCAGGGCTGTGTTTACCATTGAGCTATACCTGCGAACAGAGCGAGCCTTGACTGTTGGAGCCGAGACGCAGGATACACAGCACGACTGGATCCTGGCGCTGACAAAGGTGACACCGTTTGAGCAGAGCACACCCACACGAAGCACACATTTCCATCCTTTTCCTATAAGTTTGTTTTCCACCTAAAGTTTAAGCCAATAAGTTGTGTGAATTTGCCTTTTTTTTTTATTCACATAGCAATGCCTCTTTCAGTAAGACAAGTAATTTTGCCATCTTCCCCCGCATGCTGAAGGAATCTTTTAATAAGCCCCTGTATAAACATGCACCTTATTGCCTTTCTTATCTTTCCAGTCTTAGACAACTTAGTCCCTTGTAGAGAGACGTGTTGCACTATAGCTATATATGCCTCTCACTGTAGAATATGTTAAAGTGTCCGTTTAAAGTCAGAGAACACAGCACAAATTCTTTTGCTATCTGAAATTAATACATTTTATACGTTTGCAATTACTTTACAGCTTATTAGAAAGTGTAGTTTGTTTGTTTTTTGTCCCTGTTTTCATCAACACATGTTCTCCACAGTGCATTGTTCCATCCAAGGTTGAGGGATTGGTGCGAAAAGACAGTGAACTAATTGGAAGACTCCAATACAAAGAAGGTCACGACCTCTATCACTGGAGGATGGGCTGGTTCATGCTAGAGGGCTCCACACTGCACTTCAGCTCTGGAGAAGAGGAGGCAGATGAGGAAGTCCTTCGTCTCAAACAACTGCAAGAGCTTAGTAAGCATCTTACTGTTTTCTGTTTTATTTTTTTAGAGCTGGGGTTTTACCATTAAGTGTCTTTTCTTTTTAGCGATTGAATATTGTAGTAGTAACGCCACAAAACAACAAAACGTGATCCTTGGTCAAAAACTCAACATTTGAGCTCCACCGTAACCAGACACAGAACTTCAGCAGCGTTCTTATTTGGGATGCAGTGTTGTTTTAACTATTATTAGTTTTAGTCACATTTTAGTCATTAAGATATGTGATAGTTTTAGTACGTTTTTGTTCACTAAAAATTTAAAAGGATTTAGTCTAGTTTTAGTCAGTTGTATGTTGCAAAGAAAAGGTAGCCTTTACAATTTAGAAGAAGAACTACCTTCTTTACCAGACTGACAGGTCTTGCCTAGATACTACAATTGCTGGTTATAGAATGCTGCCGTGCAGTTCATCATTACTGTTGGGCCGAAAAACATTGATTTGTAGAATTCAAATAAACTTTTTTATGAATTAATGCCTTAATTTATGAAAAAGTGTGTCACAAAAGCTGTGAAAGTAGCAGGTCTAGTTCAACACATCATATTAGTTAATATAGCAGACAGACAAGCCACCCAAATGTACAATAAAGAAATGGTTTTAGACATATAAGGTTTCTATTGTAAAAGGCATTGATATGGAAAGATTCAGTGCAGTGCAAAATAAATAAATTTGGTACAAAATGCTGTAGAACATTGAGCTGTGTTCTGTTTAAAGGAATTATGAAAAGAATCAGCCATATTATATAGTATGCTTAAGCAGCATTTTAACTGCTCAAAATTGACCAGGAAGCAGATTAAATGTTTGCGTATAGTATATCGACCATTGATGTCAGACATGAATACACGTTAAAGCCAGTAGGGGGTTCGGGTGCACTTTAAATGCATAAAGATGCCACAATGTGCCTCGATCTGAATTCCGTTTTAGTTCTGTGTGGTCTATTTTTCTTGCTTAAAAATGACTTCATGCCACAGTCTAGCTTAATAAAGCTTTATGAGATTGCCTCCAACCATGTTTTTTAGTGTTGATTTGGTATTTAGAGTGAAGTGTGCTGCAAGTTTTCCCCCCAAGTTTCGATCGAGGGACTTTTGAGGGTTTCTTCTAACAGTGACTTTTTTCTTAGTGGTCTTTCAAACACACAAGATCTGTGGTTTGCTTGACTGATACAGTAGTTATCAAGACAACTTGGAGATCAACGTACAGATAGAAGCCCTTTTATTTATTTTGAATTGGGGAAAAAAACATTTTAGATACAATTTCTATAAGCTGCCCTATATGGGATTTCTCCATCCCACATTATAAAACGTAACTGTAAAGGAATAATGTTGATTTTTAGCAAAGAGATGAAAGTGAAGAAGTGTCAAATGCTGATTTGTATATCAGCAAATCTGCTTTTCAAAAAAGGAGGTAAGTAAAGGTAAATATTAAGCATTGCACCTGTGAGGAATACATTTTTAAGCTTTCTCCTTTTTGGATAGATTTGTGTTGACTTGAACTGGTTTCATCTGTGTAGTTTGTTCAAAAATCTACTGAACATGAGTTATGTCTACTCTTCACCATGGAAGGCTCTAAAGTTCACACAAGCTTTTGGCAGATGATGAAGATTTTGGAACATTTCAATTGATTGCACCAGCGTGAAGCGCGAACAGAAGGAGGGGAGAATCAATAGATCTTTTTAATCTACTTACAGCTCAGCATGGATCAAATCACGCAAAGTGCCGCCCCATCTTCTCACCTGGGGCGGGATAAAGAACTGCAGCGGTGTTCATTTTTATTCCTGGCTTTCACAAACCATATTTGTCACAGCCGGAGAGCCCTTGGAGCCAGAAGGGGACTGTGGTTTGTCACGAGAATGTTGGTTTTTGTAGCGCTGAAAAAATATAGCTTCAGGATTCATGGTCTATGACATGGGATTAGCTGTTATTTTCTCTATAGTGACACCACCACATAAAAGGTGCCCCTGTGTAGCACTGAGGGATTAAATAAACCCAGTTTTCAATTAAAGTCACTGAGTGTTTCTTACATGCTCCACTACAGCATCCATCACTGGTTTACTGGTTATACATGCTCTGATCATTGTTATGTGGCATCCAGCTATATCAGATATCATGAATTAATTATGTATAGGATTAGATATTTCTGAGTCAATTTATTATGTTCAGAGGAATGTAAACAAATTTACACTTAGTATATGTAATCTTCCATACATATTATTTATGGTTTAGATTTTTAATTACATTTTAGTTCTTCAAATAAAGTTTTACACGATATAAATAAACTATGTAAATACTAAAAGTTTTAGGCAAATTCTTATTCATGTATAAGTAAAAAAGTAACTGGTTACACTTTATTTATAATAATAAATCCTCACTATCATTTATAAATGTAAAGAGACCATTTATTATAGATTAAGAAGTACTTTGGCAATGGTAAATTTCATTTATAAATTACATCCAAACCATTTATAATAAGTCGAAGGATAATTTATTAAGATATAAAGCCAGGGTAAGCCTAAGTCCAACTTGACAGGGAAAGCTCAATTAAAAATAAAGGCTTGGTTCAAGTCTTAAGTTGACTGATGTTAGGGGTTAGAACTAAACTAACATTGCAGGGCAATATTGTCTATTTTTCTTTCCATAAATGGTTAACATGCATTTTTTAACTGATTATCATATAAATTGATACTTATCCATTTATAAATTGTTGTAAAGTGTTACCAATTCATCAAAACCATCTTGCCCCTAGTTGAAAGAGTAACCCTCCTAAATAAAACCTCTCCAGCTTTACCCTGTTTAATTGTTTCATTTATAATTTTAGAAAGTTTAGATTAATTTCAACATCCACACCCAATACCAATTCCAACCTGACTTGTAAAATCACAAAATAACTTAAAAGAAACCCTGTCTTACACTTTGAATTTGGCTAAAAGGCTAAAAGACTTTGACATCCATCAGTCTTTTAAAAGTTAGTTACTCCAAGAGTACATAGATTGATGCATAGGAGTAACCAGGTGAAACCCAAATAGAACACAATATTCAGAATGATTTTGACTATCACTTTACCTATTTAGGGGGAATCTGATATATTTTTATCAGACAAAAGAAGAATAATTAACAAGAAATAAACCCTGCTATACCTGGTGAAAAACAACATTCCAAAAGAAGAATGTCATGGTACCTTTATTCCTTTCACTTATCATACACATGCTATCCTGCTCCTCTCTACTTCCATGATTACCAGTGCCATCAGTCCATGGTGGTATCTGAACGTCCACCCTAATCACTATATAGGGCACTATATATAGTGGATGAAAAAGTAGTTGGCTCCAAATTTCCCACAATGCACCTTAAAAGTAGCGATCATCCATGGTCAATAGATGAGCAGATATATCCCAGAATGCATTGTGCGGAGAGCTCTTCTCACAAAGCATTATGGCCATAGGCTGACTAATAACAAAGATAGCTCAGGCACCGCACAGTGGAGGCGGAGTGACGTGACCAACGAGAAGCAAAAAATACTGATCATGTGTCAGAACTGTCAGTTAACTGAGTTCTCTATAAAGTCCATTAAATAGTCCCCACTCTATACAGTGATTGAGGGATCTAGTGGATAGGGCGGGCGTTTTGGTTTTTTTGACCTACCTCAGTGAATGAAAAAAATAATAGGTAAAGATTTACCTACTGGGAAGGTTTCATTTTCCTCAAATGGTATTAAACTATGTGGTAGATGAAGAGGACAAAAGAATCCTGACAATTGTTGTGGATTTGCATAGAGAAAATGAATATATGATAAATGTTTGTTTTGTGGAAGTGGAAAAAAAAAAACCTCCAGGAAACAAACAATTGAGTGTTGTTCCCAAAATCATTGGTGAGATTTTTTCTATTCAAAATAACTATGTTAACAAGAGAAATCAAAATAACAGGATAAAAAAAAAAAAAACAACCAAAAAACTGTTTAAAAAAAACTAAACTATGTTTTTTTTTTTTTTTTTTTTTTATCAATTTAGGGTATAAAAAACATCTGCTTGTCAGAATCATTTGTTCCTAGAGTAAAAAAAAAAAAAAAAACTTTAGGGTAAAGGGAAAAAACAGCTTTGAACATTTATAATTTGGTCATAAGAACATGCATAAAATATATTCTTTGGTGAGAACAAGGCTGCAGACTTATCACACAAACAGATTAAGAAACAAACACATTTCAGTTGAGCTTCTTGTTGGATGAATTAGGATTGCTGCGTGTCTGTTCAAACAGCTATGACAAGTGTTTTCCATTTTACCTGATAACGCTGCTAATAAACTTCTCTCAAGTCAATCCCTTAAATTTTTGGCTTTCTTTTCTCTTTACTTGGATCAAAATAAAACATAGTGCCATTGAAAATGTGCCAGAAAAAAATATAAAAACAAGTAAGAAGACAGACTTTGTGTGATTGTTTTTTTTTTCTTTCTGGATCAACATCAACTGGCATATACTAAAGACTTGTCAATCAACTTGAGACAATCGCCTTCCCTACTGTTAAATCAAAATATAGCTAGTATGTATTTTTTTATAATGTGCTGCATATCACTTTTTTAGCCAAGATAAAGAGCACCCCCCTCCCCATACATGCAAATGCTTAATCTGTATAGGTAATTAAGCATTTTGTTAACGTATCTTTGAATTGATTTAAATACAGGTTAAAGGTAGTTATTAAGCCAGTAATCAGTCTCATGAAATTGGCGGTTTGCTGAGATGAAGTCCTGTGTCGTTTTCTCTGTGTTTTTCATCTTTCTATCCATTACTGGAGCACAATCAGTGCTTGAGAGTGATGAAAGTGCCAGATGTTGTTGCTAGGAGATTTGAGCAGAGCCTCGTCTCCCTTTTTTCTGTTTTCTCTCTGAGGTGTGCGATTGTTGCCGTGATCCAAGCAGCTGTTTGAAGCCCCCGAAGAGATTACGGCTGTGCTTTAGAGTCCCTCAGCACCGTTCCTCTGTATCATGCTCCCTTATTCCGATTTCAAAAGACTGATTGTGTAGATGAAGAATGCCATTAACTTTCTCTATTTACTGATGAGTTGAATATCACCAACAAAGCAATCTATTTGCATTTGTATGTTTTTATTGTGAAAATTGAAAATAACACTCTCTTTGTGCCCCGATTCCCACTCGTTAAAATCTGCAAAGGATGAAGGTGGCAGAAAGGAAGAATTTATATGTCCCAGTAGAAAAAGGAAATCTTTAAATCCAATAGAATGCACTTAACATTTTACTCTGCATTTATCAGCCTTTGTTTCTCTTACATTTCCCTTTGTTTTATTCAGTTTTAACAAGCTTAAGTGTCAGACGGGGACCACAAATATTAAAATTCCTGTTTGCTAGTGCAAAAGTATATTATTGCTTACCTTGTAACAGTACCATTAGAGTTGGGAGCATGTATTTATCACACCTAAAATAGATTTTTTTATTTTAGTGTACAACCCTCGAGATATTTTCTTGGATATACATAGAACAAGTCTACAGCCTTTTTTTATGGATCCAGATTTGGCTGGAAATTTATATTTGATCTACTATTTTCAAATTGTTGACATGAAAATAACTGCTCGAGTAAAAATAGGATTTCAGTTTTTGTTCTTTTCAACTCTCTCAAAGCTATTCCAGTATGTCTGTTTAGATATGTATTTTTTTCATATAAACAAGGCTATAAGATTATGAAATGATAAGACTTCTGGCATATTGCATATGTATTATTCCAACAGTCTTCTGGACCTACAGTTCACATTTCAGAATCCGCTGTGTTGGGCATGAATGTGTGTTTAACCCAAGAATTTGACTGCTGAATGCTCACAGCGTTCAAGCATTAGGTATGATGATATCAACTTTAGAGGAAATAAAAACAAGGATTTTTTTTTTCTTTTAGTAATAAAAAAAGAAGGCTGTGATACTCGGACTAAAAGGGTGTTCTGTGTACTCATCAGCCTTTAGTAAGAAACAGTCTCTGTGGCGGCTTATTTTTGCAAACTGTGTTCTATAGTGGACACCTAAGGAATAACAGCCTAAACAGCTTGTGTCTAGGATACGTGTGGTCTGTGGAAATGTTAGTGGTTCCTTTTTTATTCTATAACTATCCAATGCCTTGATGGAGAGAAGTTCAGACTAAATAATGCCATTGTAGATTAAAGGTATTTAACAGAAGCTCCCGTGGAAGGTTTAACTGCTTCAGCAAACACAAGAAATACAGTCTCTTCTGGGCTTTCTACTGAAGAGTATCTATGCGTGAGAACCAGCTCAGGTCCCAAGAAAAGATGGTCCCTATAGGTAATCCCCAGTAGAGTTGTTGAGGATGATGAGGGGAGGCTGGGTGGGGAAAGTTTTCAAGAACTCCATTATCTCAATGGTTTAAGCTGGTTTACCACCATGCAATTCTGACCTTATTAGTGGACTGCCCAATGTACCATTCTGTCTGTATGCAGACTCATCATCCTAGATCAAACCAATGACAGCAATGTCATATGCACACTTCAGGGATTACAGAGACAAGTCAACTGAGGTGTAGTCATTTGTGTAAAGGGAGAAGAATGGGAAGACAACATACCCATGGGGGCTGCTGGTGCTAATTGTTCTCAAGATAAAAAAGATCTTCCTCAAACTTATCTCTGGTTCTTGTCAGTTGGAGAGTTGGTGATCCACTGATGGGTGAAAGGCAAACACAACAATGTTGGTCCATTTCTGGTGGAGGATGTTTGGGTTGATAGTATTGAATTTTGAGCTGAACACCACAAACGGGATCCTGGCATTAATCCCTAGGTGGTTTAGGTGGAAAGGGATGGAAAGGGTGTAAGCCCAGGTTGATTGCATTATTCAAGAGCGAGTGTACCCACAAAGCAAACTGCAGGGTGAAGGATGCTTTGATACCAGTTGCTATAAGGGATTACCTGACCATAGATGTCTTCGGTCATTTAACCATGTGACGGTGTATTTCTTGGGGAGTGGATTGTTAGTGAAACCCTATAAGCTGGGAATCTTATACGGCTTCAGAGGTTTTTTGCAGGTCTGAATAAAGGTGGAGATACAGCTGGTCATTGAAAGTGTTCGGGTGTAAGTTAGACATACTGATCTTCTGACATTTGAAGGCTTATTTCTATCTTTGCCAGTGATCCTAAGTGCAGTTGCATGGTCAGAGGGAGGTAGTTGTAAATATGTTGGTGGGAGGTTGTTGTAGTCGCTTTGCGGTCATTATTCATAAATGGCTGGCGCCTCATTCTACAGAACAATTCAAACATTCATTACATGGTGTATGGTTGGGCTCTTGCATATTGAAATCATATTAGTATTTCTACTATAATGCAAGAGTAAAATGGTTATTTGTGTTTCAATATATTTCCAGTGTGTCATAATAAACATGTCGTGAAAATCCTCAGTCATTCGGGTCATGGCAACCACAAACAGACAGAAGGTTTGAAAGAGGCACTGATCTCTATTTATTCACTGGATTGCTCATTGCCCGTTGGTAGTACAGGGTTGAAGTGAAGCCACTGGTCGCCATATTGGTACTCCCTAGTTAGACCTGTTGCAATGTAAACAATATGAGTGCTACAGCATCAAATAACAAGGATGTTCTCATTTTCAGGGGGGCTTAAGACTTTTAGAATAAAAATAAATTCATCACTTCGACACATACTTGGTGTTTCATAGCATAAATAGATTGGTTTAACTTATAATAAAAAATAGGCACATCGCATAGTCAGAATGAAGTCTATAAATCATATAACATACCATATTATACAAATCCATCACAACAAAATTAATTTGCTAATGGAGCATAATGATTCTGATGTGCCAAAAGTCCTAAATTGATGATGTGTGTCTATTAGACATGTATTGATGACATTGTTGTGGTAATCACATATTACATATGATTTTCAAGATTTTACATCAAGACTCAATTACAAGTGCATGTCTGGTAATGCTATAGTAATTACCTATTTGCAAATTTTGCATGAATAATGGCATATGCTTTTATGCTGTGTCTGTGCTTTAGCCTTTAAAAATGTTTTAGTTTCAGCACGACTTTTTCAAATGAGAAATACAACAAACACAACAAAAGTGTACAAGTCAATTACTTTCTATTTACTCTACTTTCTATTATCTAATGTTAGACACAATGTCAATGGCTAACTCAGTCAATATCTTCTAATCAGTCCAGGATATCCTGATTAATGTTACACTACGTACTATACTATGCGATACATCGTCATATATATGGGATTCTTGGTTAGTACATCAACTGACTGTGAAATTACCTGTTAAACATCTTCCCACGGTCGACAAACTGATTGTTGTTGCAGTCAAATGCTAAACACGTAGGTATATTTACTGTGAATCTCTGTGGGAGGAGGGAGTACCAATATGGCAGCCGGTGGATTCGCTTTTTTCGGCCGTTAGCAATCCAGTGAATAAATAGAGATCAGTGGAAAGAGGCATTAAGGAAGCCATCTTTGTGAAAAGAGAAAAGCCATCACTGAACCGAGGGGAAGGATTGCGGTTTCAGCTTCCACGCATTTACAAATAAAGGAACCCATTCCCAAGAAGTTACATACAGTACAGTAAGCCCTCCCATTATGATTCTTAAGACCAGTCACAGAGTCCATGCAAACCTAAGAGCTACAATAATCCAGAAGAACAAAGAGGGGCTATTTGAATATTATCTAATTTGGAATGTGTGCAGGTGGTTGGTCCCCCATGCTACTTAAATACTTGAGCGCTCCAACTAGATTTTGCTTTGCTATGAGCCAACAGAATTGACAAAGATTCCTGGATAGATGTCGAAAACTCTTCCAAAAAAACAAAGCGAAAGTCTAGTTGCCTTCTAAATTAAGCCTGTTTGTGGTGTTATAATAAAGGATATTAGATATATTACCATGGTAATAAATGTGTGTCTTCTTTTTTTATTTCTCCCTGCGTTGTTATTTCTGTTTGAATCCTAGATTATTTGATTTTCATTTCTGTGCATTAAATACAATGCTTTTCCGCTACGTTTCTATATTAGTTTAGTATAAACATAAACTTTTTAAGGATGTTATCTTATTTCCATTTTATTGGTGTGACATCTATATCTGTAATATATTTGATAAAATACCTAAGAACTTTTGCAACTTTAAAGTAAAAAAAACAGCTGTGTGAAAAATTTAGATATTTGATTGTTGTCAACTTTACCTCAGTTGAGTATTTATTGTACATTTAAAAAAAAAAAAGTATACATGCATCCAAAACTATTCCATCAAGTTTATCTAACAGTTTGATCATACAACTTGTAATGCCAAGTCAAAAAAGGGTCAAAACATTTTCTTTGCTACCCTTTTTTTCTGCAGCTGTCTCTACACATACTGAGGGTGAGGACAGGATCCAAGTACTTCTGCTGGTGGAAAGTGGAAGGTAGGACTGTTTGTTTTTAAAAGGAAATGGGAAAATTGGTGTTATATTTATTTCTATAGCAACAGTGCAGTATATGCACAGATCAACATTGTTAGCTTTGACTATTTGTCTAGTTATCCCTAATGCACTTGATGAACTGTAGCCATCTGTGGTACTTAAAGACATGCCTTAGATGAGTAGAAGGGGATTAAGATGGCAACAATCTGCAGCAAAAAATTCTCACTCCTTTTTAGAATAATGCAACGAGACCTCACCACAACGGAGCTAATTGCTATTTGTTTGTGTGTTTTTGATCAAACCTCATGGGAAGCCTGCTTTTGTTTATAGATGTGTGCTTAGTAGAAGCGTGTTTGGATTCTTTTCATCGTGTCGGTTGTTTTTTTAAATGATTCACAAGTGCTTTTTCCAAACATGTAAGCATTAGGTGATGTTTAGTCATGCTTTCAGCTCATAATATCTTTCCAACAGAACGCTTTACATCCACGGCTTCAACAGGATGGACTTTGCTCTGTGGCACTCAACAATCACGATGGCTGCAGGCACAGATGGAAGGGCACTTGGTGACCAGCAACTGACCAAAAATGGCGTCCCTATTATAGTTGACAGCTGCATTGCTTTTGTCACTCAGTACGGTGAGTTGCAACATGTTTACCTAAATAACTGGGGTTTGAAAAAATTAGTTCTGTATGAATAAATCACATTTTCTTCTCTTGAGAAGCTGATTCATCCAATGGACGTGTTTTTAAATTGTTGTTTGGGACACTGTTGTGACATTATATTACCTCGATTTGTATTTTATTTGTGTTTTTTTAGAAAAGAAACAAACAAAAAAGAATAGTTTAATATTCACTTTGCTCTCAATGGGGGACTGCCCTTTACAAAATATGTAGGTTTCAAAAGTACTTTTCAAAAGTATTTGTAACCCATATAACACAAATGTTAACTTGTTTTGTCTGTATTTTGGATAATTATTATAAAAGCTTGTTCTCGAGTTATAAAAGATGATATATGTATATTTACCAGACTGACAGCTCTTGCCTAGATACTATTATTACTGGAGATACAATGCTGTCATGCATTTCATCATAGCTGTTGGGAAGAAAACTTTAATTTAAGAATTCAAATAAACTTTTTTATGAATTAATGCCCTGCTTTATACAAAAAGTGTGTCACAAAAGCTGTGAAAATAGCAGATCTAGTTCAGCACATCATATTGGTTAATATAAGCTGACAAAATGTGCAATAAAGAAATGGTTTTAGACGTATAAGGTTTCCATTCAAAAGTAAATACTTCCTAATCTACTATTAATTATTATGCATTACACACAGATCAAAAAAATCTTCATTGCTCCAAAAAAGCAAAGAACAAAAACATTGTTTTTTCTTCTTAGACAATTTTTGCCCCTTTGTTACCACTGCTCAGGGTTCAAAGTAGATTTATATTCACATGGTAATGATATAAAAACAATACACAGAGAACCTACATAACTGCCTTGTAAGTACATGACAATCATACCTAAATTGAATGAATATATTAACTAAAATGTTGAAATATTTAAAGAAAACAGAGAAAATGTTTTAATGACAATACAAGGAAACATTGTATTTCAATAGATAGAAACAAGAACAATGAGAGACAAATATTCAAAAATCTAAGTACCTTTTCAACTGGCTCTTTATCCAAAAATAAACAGTATGCAATAAAAATATATGGTTTGGATATAATTTAGGGATTCCTTTTGGTAGAAATTAAATAATTTTTAGTATCACCTTTTGTGATCTGGAAGAAATAAAATTAAGTCTTGATAGTGAGAAGAAGAAATAAAATATTGATAGTTAGACAAAGGAATTTTTTACGCTTGGCAGAGGATGATCAGCCACATAGTTTATTAAGTAGCGAGAGCAAGAAGAGCCATACTGCGGAGAGCAAACCATCAGTGTGGAGCATAAACCGCAGACTCTGAGCTATGTGCGTGCAAAGATACATTTCTGCACAAGCAAAACTGGAAGAGGAGAGTTTGTCAGTTGAGCATGCAGTACCGGACCATTCCGGGTTATTTTCATCACTGCAGTTGCTGCCACACTTCATCTGTGGTCATGCAGAATGTGCAGCGCTGCATGCCAGGTGGACGGGATGAGCAAACAGGACGCAGCAGCACGGCTGATACTGCTTAACTTGTCTTAACAGATCACAGCACTGATGAATTTTAAACATCGGACCGACCACCCACAAATTTTTATTTAGTCTTGTCTCATTGAGGAAATCTCAAACCTATCACTATCATGTTTTCGTCGTCAAAGATCCACGTTTAATTTGTCTGGTTTTTCTTTATCGTCATAAAAAAAGTAGCTATAACAAATTAATTTTGTCAACTAATGTTGATGAAAACAACACTGATTGAAGGCAAATATTAACTTTATTTGGATTGAGCTTTTACATATGCATAGATACACGTACACATATATATATATATATATATATATATATATATATATACACAGAAGAGCTATTTATGTATATATTTTATATCTTTTTATTATTATGTTTTATCTTTATTATATTGTGTAGTTGGATGTGTGTATATATTATATAAAACTGTAACTGGAGCGTGTAACAAAATTAATTTCCCTCTGGGAATATTAAAGTATTTCTGATTCCGATTCTGAAAAAAATACCTTACACTTTTATACACTTACACTACCAACACTTATATTACTTTAAATGTCATTATATACAGGTAAAGTATTAAAATCCATCATAAGGTGGTTCAAGTAAAATCAGTATTCTGCTGTTTTCTTAATAAATCACCACATTCTTCATCCAGGTTTGTGCCAGAAGGGGGTCTACCAGACTCCCGGGGACCCTGCTCGTGTGTCCCTCCTTCTGGAGGAGTTCACTCGTGATGCACGCAATGTGAAGCTGAGGAAGAAGGAACATAAGCTAGAAGATGTAACGGACACCCTGAAGAGCTTCTTATCCCACACAGAGGATGCACTTCTGACCAAGGAGCTCTATCCATACTGGGTGTCAGCTTTGGGTATGTGAGGTGAAAGGTAGTGTTTGGAAAGACTCAAAAGCAGAATACCAGGCTTTCTGAAAAAGATGACTTTTTTCTTTTTCAGTATACAGAAATGTGCTTTTAACTAATTTATGACTTTATTTCAACTCTATGTCAGCATGAAATCATAAGAGAAACAACCTCAGTCAAGAACAATTAGCATTAGTTTGTATTTGGTACAGTTTTTCTATAATATATATGCATACAGGCTTTATATATACATAAAACCAATATTAAAAACGAGGGCAAATGTTTTAAGTTACACCTGATGCGCTTTTTTAACTGTCAGAAAATTACAGGTTGTGCAACCACCCTTATTGGCTGAAATAGTGGAAATTCCTGGCTTTTTGGTACATCGTTCATACACATCCTTCAAAATAGTGTGCTTCTTTCATTCTTAAATTAGTTTAGATGTATGTTTGAGACCATGAGACTGTTTAGCAACTGTTGCTTACTGGGCCATGTAATCATCTAGTAATCCAAAAGTTGTTCCATGTGAGTGTCAGGGTGCCTTTAGGGTAACTGAATCCATATTTATCCATATTTAAATACAGTATATGAAGCCATTTATTAATTTTCTTCACATGTTTTCTGTGCGGTTTTTGCAGACGAAAAGGAGGAAAAGCAGAGGGTGAAGAAATATTCAACTTTCATAGAGAGTTTGCCAAAAGTCTACAGGTCGACCCTTAATGCCTTGCTCCAGCATCTGTACAGGTATGTGCGATCAAACTCAAGTCACGATACATTTAGTCTGGTGCGTATACTGCAAGTCAGGAGAAAGGCATTTTAATTTTAACACCTTGAAAAGAAAATTATAAAGAAAGAGCTTTTAAATATGCAAATCAGGCACTTTCAGACACGTAAAGGTTATGTAAAATACATTATATATGATTATGCATGTATTATTTGCATATCCTGATTTGAATAAATTTTATTGTGTATTTATGCTAAAAGTTCTAAAACAAAATTGCTTCGGATATTTTTTTTTTACAAAATGAGAGTTTAAAAATGAAATTCATCAAAACAGCATTCATATCTTACAAGTGTAAGATGATTTCCCAATGGAAATGCATTCTCCAGCCTGTGTTAACCTTGTCTCTTTTTTTTAACGCTATTGAACTTTTTTTGAATGGCAACTCAAAAGGGTGCAGCTCAAAGTGTTGGAATTTGTTTGACTGAATGAATGTGCTTAAATATATACACTCTATGGTTCTAACATGTTTCGGTAAATATGAATTCATTTGAAGAGGTAGTACAAAGCTTAACAGGGCTGGCAATAGTCTTGTATAAGGAGAACAAGTACGGTAAAAGTAACAAACAAAGAGCATGAATTAAGGTTTATGTTTTTTAAGTGGCCATGTTTTTATTGTTTTCCAACCTTATAAATGTCTTTCAAAGATTTTCTTTTGAGATTTTGCAGATTTCCTACCAATTCCTGTTGCTTTTAGACCTTTTCCTTTTCAGCATATCTATGCATGAACAATCTAAATTCAGCAGACAGTCTGGGAACTGGCTTATTAGCCTTTTTTGATGTTGGTCCTTAGAAGCAAAATATAACTAATACTTTATAACTTTAAGCTTGTTTTGTCTTTAAACAAATTGGTCACTTCCTCTTACGTTTAAAAGACTAAACGTGAACCACAACTCCCCAATCACCTTTGATTTGCTATTTTTCTTTACTATTTAATGTATCGTCCCTTCCTTTCTGCAAAAAAATACTTTCTATGCTTAGTTTAATCTATCTTTTGTTAAGTTTTTCCTTTTGCCAATCTTATTTGGTTTCGAAGTCATAGTTATAAATACTGTACAATGGGTAAGCTGGCAGGTTCTTCAAAATGCAAGCTTAATTAGAAAAGGCTGTTTACGGTTGAAGAAACTCTGTCCTTGGGTTGAAAATGCTGAATAAATTCCTTATTGTTTGTACCATTTGCCCATGTTTCCCGTCTCAAACAGATTGTGTGACACATTATTTAAAACGCCTGCAATTAGCAAACATATTGCAGAACTCCTTGGAAAGAATGCCTCTGTTTATAGCTTAGCATGGGTTTTTTTATTTATTTATTATTATTTAATGTTATTCCCCTAAGTTGCTAGACTTGAATATCTGAAATTTTATATTATAGCTTTAAATAAACAGAAAATCTAGCTTTATTGTTAAGCTTACTGGTGTTAAACAGGAATATAGTATAGAAAAAACAACACAAATTAGCTAAACATCTGAACAATGGATAGAAAGTTTAAGAGAAGGCCAGCTTCACTCTCTGGACCTTGTCCCACTGAAGCTAAGCACCACCAACCTGTTCTTCAACCTTTAATTAGATTAAGAAGCCAACACTCTGCTATCTTGATGTCTTTTTCACTGATGCTCACTTTACACACCTCTCCCTAAGATACCTCCCATGGCGTGTTGTCTCTTAGCTGTTAATATATAGACTGCTTTAGACTGCTTCATGAATGTCTAACTCACCTGTGCTGAGTTTGGCCCAGAGCCTTTTATTTTAATCAATGTTGTCTATGCTGTAAAGATGTAGGCTGCTGGTGCTAAGCTGTCTACGGATGTATCTTTACATTCAGGTGTTGTTTTTTTTGTTAAGCACTTTTTCTTTCCCGGTTCAGGATTCAGCAGTCCTCCCACCTCAACGAAATGCCAAGTGAAAAACTGGCCGCTGTCTTCTCCTGCTGCCTCTTCCAGACTCAAGGACAGACTTCCCAGGAAATAAACGTGATCCGTGACCTAATCAGTAACTATGTTACGCTTTTTAGTGTAAGTAAAAAGTAGTTTGCTACTTGTTAAAAGTTTATGCAATATTTAATATTGATGGTTTAAAAAAAAGAGATGATTTTGAAATTTTGCCTAAGAAGAAAGCCAAGTTATACTGACTTGAGATGGGTCTTCCTCCTGGGAAGTTAGGTAACATCCAACTTTTCATTGCATAAAGAATCGTTGCATAATTTGTTGAAAAAAATACCAGTATACTAGCTGCTACTTTGCATTGTGTCATATACAGCTGCCAACTTCCTTCTCCACATACAACCTGCACACACTGCCTCCCCGAGACAAAGAAAAGTTCAATAAAAAGAAGATTGTGGAAAAAAAAAAATAGGAGGTCGACTTGAACCAAATACTAATAATGAAATTCTCCTTTTAAAATCTTTTATTTTAAGTAGCTAATTTCATCTTAATGTTCTACTTGTTCACCCTATTTTTCTTTTATTTCATATATACATAATTCAAACACAGGGAATAAAAGAAAAGCCTCAGCTGTTAAAGGCTGCTTTTTGCCATTAGAACAACTCTATCTTCTAATATAACCTTTCCCAAGGTTTGACCATATAATGTCTTTGATCAATTTCTCTTTGCACAATTCTTTCAGATTATTACAGGTTATCTCTTAGGTTTCCTTCTCTAGGATTTAGGTACAGGGCCTTTGAACAAGCTTAATTTTGTGTCTGGTAAAAGCTTTCATTCAAAGGTCAATATGCTGCTGGTGTTTTGCATTATCCAAGTGTGCTTGAGCTTAAGGTGATGGCTTGACATTCTCCTTCTGTTAAAGAGCAGAATTTATGATTCCATCAATTAAAGTTAGTTGTCCAGGTCCTGGAGCAGCAAATCATCAGTGTTTTTTATTGGCAAATATGAGACGGCCCTATATATACACACACACATACATATATTTTTTGACACTCTAGGATGCTGTTTTTGCTTGATCTCTTACCACTTACCATAACTGAGGCAAATAAGTTCTGCAGTGCATTATGTGTTGTTTTTTCTGTGACTTTCTCGAGTAATCATTTAAGCGCTCTTTGTTGTTGTGTTTTTTGTACGTTGTCTGCTCTCTCTTACCATAGCCTGTTGGGTACTAAAGCCTTAAAAATTACTATTTAGATGGTTATGTGTCAGAAAATTTATTTCTTATTTGTTCCTATTTTTTTATTATTTTTTTTTTAAGATTGGGCTGGGATGTGTTTTGCTTGGATCTTTTGTCCTTAGTTTGTGCTGCAGTATAGCTTTTTTGTGTGATTTCCAGATCAAACCGGTTTAGGAGTTAAGGATATTCAGTAGAATTTCACTAATTTTTTTCACGCAAGACCATAAGCTTTTGATAGCATTTTTACCCTTATAAGTGAAATTGTTTCTTCCTTATTTAATGACATCAGTAGAAAATCATGCTTACCTTTATACCCATCCATTCATTTTCTGTCACTTATCCATCAAGGGCAGATGCCTATGCCTATGAAAGGTGGGATACACCTTGGCCAGGTTGCCACTCTACCCCAGAAATGCACATAGACTTATAACTACAGATCCAATATCTGGATCGGATATTGGTCATTTAATATCCACTATCAAATCAATGGCATGATAGTGGAAAAAGAGGAATAACAGTTCCATGTTAAGTGCATTGGATTTAATATCCAATATCAAAATGATAGTGGAAATTAAATCCAATGCACTTAACATGGAACTCTTATTCCTCTTTTTTGCTACTTATTTATTGATGAATAATATAAACTACATGTATGTTAATTTTTTACCTTTTTTTTAACAATGTGTTAAAATGTGTTCATTCATGAAACAGTTAAATTGGATCCAAATCGGCTGATATGCTCAGCCGGTATCGAATCAGAAAAAACTGGATGCATCTCTACAAATGATCATGCAAACACACACTCAATCCTAAGGGTAATTTAGAGATGCCTATGAACCCAAGTATGGAAGGAAGCTGGGGTACCCAGAGAGAACCCACACATGTATGGGGAGACATGCAGACTCCATGCAGAAAGACCCCTAGGCCGAAGTTGAACCAAGGCAGCAGTACTACAAATTACATCACCATAATAGTTGATAAATGTAATTATAAGTGATAAAATATTCTGAAATATTATATTAAGAAGTCTTGAAAAAGCACAAAACTTTTTTTTAATTAAACAGAATCTGAATGATCTGGAATGTAACCATATTGTGTATCTAAACCAAGATGCAGTTATGACTTTCTTTATAACTGAAACATCTGGTCATCAGAACTATTCCTGCCATCTCTCTACAACCAGCTTTACTCTTTCCTGATTCATAGATGTGTAGGAGAATGGTATAGGATCACCCTTACCCTTGCAGAGCTGCATGGCACACAGGATACGCAGCACAGCACAGCTGCTAATTTCCTCATAAAGCTTCTCGATATTTCTCTCTTTTCAGATGTTACAGAAGCATTCGCTACAAATCGTTTCGAGACGCCATAATTTGCATGGCAAATAGCCATAAAGCGCAGAGCGAATGCACTCAAAGTGACATAAAAAGAGAGAAGATGTCTCAGTAATTAAAGTTTTGGGTTTGTGCCGGATGTCGTCGGCAGGCTCTATTATCAGGTCCAAACACACACATTGAGTTTTGAGAGTCCCCCTCCTCTCCCGCTATCTTACCCACCATTTCTATAACTAATAAAAGGGATTGTTTTTTGAAAATAATAAAGAAGTTTGAAAAAAAGTTAGAAAAAGAAATGTAATTTCCCCAACAGATCTTTAAGGGAGAAGACTAATCACTTGGAGCTGAGCGGTATTAACACTCACAGCCAACTTATTCTTGAGAAATATTTCCATTAAGGACCTGCTTCTCCTGCTAATTTTAAGCCCCTCCTTAAGTGTTGGATAGACCTGGCCTTGTGTTTTATATTCATTGTGTCTCTCAAAGGTACCAACTCACCTTTGAACATTTTTAAGTAATTTCACCGTTTTTGTTTGTTTGGGATTTTTCTTTTTTTGGAAAGGAGTAGGTAACTAACCAACACAAATCATATGGGTGTTTAAATTTCCTTCCCAGATGGAAGCCACTCTAGTTGACGATCCAGTCCAGGTGGCCAACCAGTTCAACCAGTTAAGGAGCCCAAAAAAATTCCAGCCGCAGTTTAAAGAGCTGCGCTACAAGATCTCCATACATTTTTCAATAACTTAAACATCTTATGTCTAAACCTAAACATTTAAAATTTCTCACATCAGTTTTTTTTTTTTTTCTTAACTGATTGCTTGCACAAAATGTAAGAAACAGCTTTAACCACAAAATGACCTCAGGATCACGAAGTAAGGCAGTGCCCCCTTTTCCAACTTTGTACAAAGCTGCAAAATGGTGCTTTAAGTTTAAAAGTGTAAAATGTGACAGTAGTGACTGGCATAGTAAGCAGACAGATTTCTTATTTCGTTCATAAAACACATACGAATTCTTCCATTTACATTAAAAATCTCTTACTCAGTAATCACCAGGGCTTGGAAGTATATATTCTTGAGTAACTTTATGAACAACAAGTTTTTCTGCTATTGTTATAATGCATTATACTTTTTACATTAGTCATATTTTTTCAAGTAACGCTACTTTATTTTCACCTGTTCACCTGTAGTTACTTCATAAAATGAACAAAAATGTTTTTGTCAAAAATAATCCAGATGTAGAGTTTGTATAGAACCTTTATTGTTCAGCCTGTTGTCCCATTAAGAAGTCAGTTATTATGCTGTAAAGAGAGACTCACATTGGGAATAGACACAAATGAAATAAGTTCTTTGGTGGTCAGGACACATGATGCTGTAAGTCAACATAAGCTTGGATATGGAAGGTAATTTAGCACATTTACGTGTCTCGGGAATGTGCATTCACTTATACGCAGGTCGACTGCAACTGGTTAACGTGGAATATTTACGATCGTTTGCAGTTTAGAACATTTGTTGAATCTGATGTGTTGCGTTAGTAAAAGTACACAGTGGGAGAAAGCAAGAGAAATCTGCGACAAGAACATGAAAATGACGCTGCATGAGGCCCCATATATAGAATATATATATTGTATTTTCCGAACTATAAGCCGCTAATTTTTCCCACGCTTTGAACCATGCGCCTTATAAGTAGGTGAAGCTTTTCTGTCGATTTTTTTCTATCTGCTAGAGGAGGAAGTCAAAGTTGGATAGCAAAGATGACAGGTGTGACAATTGAGCTTTCGGCAGATGTCGTCAAAGTTTGGCCGATGTGGTGAATGGAGAAGCTGGGCCTTCGCCTTAATGAAGAGCATCTTGACAAATGATTGGCTTTGGAGAAGGTGCTGTCCTCATC